GCCTCCAGCTCATTCCCTTTTTCCCTGGGTAACGTAATTTCTATAGGGCTTGTCGTCTTTATTAAGAGAATTAATCTAAATCTCGCTGTGCTCTGGCCGCTTTGCTGTCCACTGGAGCCATCCTGAGGAGGGTCAAAGAGGCAGGTCCTCTTCATGGCATGCAAATAAAAAAATTAAAGAACTAAAATGGGAGGTCAGCTGGAGGCTACGGCCCAGGAAATTAATGAGTTTTTAAACAACGAGGGAAGTTTGCATCGGCCTGGTAATGTAATTCAATTTCTGTCATTAAAGCCACGTCCCTGATGTGGGGCCGCTTTTGCCCAACTAAGCAAAATCCTCTTATTAAGGCAGAATTGTGATTAGTGTAATAATCAAATGAGGATGAATGGCCGAGGGGAAGGACCGGCCACAGCACCCCGGAGCCAACGGGGATGCCCAGAGCTGTGGAGCCTGGGAAGGGCTGGGGGGTGCTCGGGAATGTGGTGGGTGCTCAAGCACCTGCAGGGACCTAGGGAAGGATAAGGGACCCCACAGCACCCAGGATGGCTGAGGAGGAGCTGGGAAGGGGCAGGGATGGGATGAACCCCTGAGGGGTCACATCCTGCACCCTCAGCACCAGGCGCTGCTTGGAGTCACAGAATCCCAGAATCACCTTGATCAGAAAAGCCCTTTAAGCTCATTGAGTCCAACCATGAACCCAACACTGACAAGTCCCCAACTAACCCATGTCCCTCAGCACTGTGTCTACACGACTCTTCAATCCCTCCAGGGATGGGGACTCCACCACTGCCCTGGGCAACCCCTTCCAATGCCTCAGAACCCTTGCAGCAAAGAAATTCTTCCTCACATCCCATCTCAACTGCCCTGGCCACAACTGGAGCCCATTTCCTCTTGTCCTGTCCCTTGGGCCTTGGTTGAACAGACCCACCCCCACCTCTCTCCACCCTCCTCCAAGGGACTTGCACAGAGCCACAAGGTCTCCCCTCAGCCTCCTTTTCTCCAGGCTCAACACCCCCAGTTCCCTCAGCCACAAGGGAACTCAGCACACTTGTGCTCCAGACCCTTCCCCAGCTCCGTTGCCCTCCACCCTCAGGTCTTTTAATACTTCTGGCAAAATCCCAGCTCCAGCTAGATTTCCAGGAAAATGTCCCATCCCTATTGAAACCATCCGGGGGGGTTCTGTGGCTCCAGGGAATTTTCCTTCTCATTGCTGGAAGGATGGATCCCCAGCAAGGTGAGGCCACTGCCTGCCCACCCCACAGCACCCTCCCCTCCCTGACACTCCTGGGAAGGGTTTGGAGACGCACTTGCACCCTCCCGTGCCTGTGTCCACGAACTGCAGGGCAGCGTGGAAGGTGGCTGGGTCCCCTGTGGCACTCCGTGCCAGACAGCCCACGAGTGGGAGGAATCATCACCATCCCCTCCACACTGGCACTTCCAAGGAGGTTTCCTTCCACTGTGGCATCTCAAGGGAAACCCACTCCCCCAAAAAAACCACCTCCCATCCCAGCGCCGTGGGTGAGGGGCAGTGGGGCAAGAGGTGTCCCATGGTGGACAGCCCTGTGGTGTTCCAGGGTGGGAAGCAAAGGGGCAGCTCCTGTCCCCTGGTCCGGTGACATCCATCAGATGTCACCAGACCAGGGGCAAAGCAGCAGATCAGGGGATTAATGGGTTGAAAAGCAGCTTGAACCTTCAGGCTGGAACCTGATTACTAATTAGAGCCGAAGGTCGGCCCACACACGGCGAAGGTGGCCAGGGCGATGCCACAGGGCACGAGGCAGCAGCAGGGCAGGAGGGGGACGTGGTGCTGGCACTTGTGCTCCAGAGCAGACTTTACCCCCTCCGAGGAGGGAAATGGAGTTGGGCAAAGCCCAGCTCAAGTCTCCAGCCTCTGTGAACCTGGTATCCAGCCCTGCTGGGGTAAGGAGACAAGGGTTGTAGCTCCCAGGCTTGCAGGCAGCTTCATGCTGATAGAACCATCAAATGTGGTGAGCTGGGAGGGACCCACAAGGACCATGGAGTCCAGCTCCTGTCCCTGCACAGGACAATCCCAACATTCACACCATGTCCCTGAGGGCCTTGGCCAAATGCTGCTGGAATCTTGTCAGGCTTGGTGCCATCAGCACCTCCCTGGGGAGCCTGTTCCAGTGCTCCACCACCCTCTGGGTGCCTGAAGAACCTTTTCCTCATGGCCAACCTCACCCTCCCCTGCCACATCTTCCTGCCATTCCCTCTGCTCCTGGCATTCGTTGGTGGCCAGAGAGAAGAGATCAGCGCCTGCCCCTCCTCTTCCCCTTGGGAGGAAGTTCTAGACCCCCAGGAGATCTCCTCTCAGTCTCCTCTTCTCCAAGCTGAACAAACCAAGTGACTTCAGCCTCTCCTCATACTCTTCCCCTCTAAACCCTTCCCCAATATTGATACAGAATAAAAATCACACACATTGACCTCAGGCCAAACCTCCAGGTTGTGTGACCATGCTGGATGCGAGACCAGGTGTGTCCACACCTCAGTCACCAGCTCTGCAGCTGAGGACAGAGACTCCAGATGAAATCTGCTCTCAGCCCTGACCAGGGCTTTGTACCCATGTTTATGCCTGCCTCACACGTGTCCCACCACTGGCACAGCCTCTCCATCCTCTCAACCAGAGTGGAGAGAGAATCCCACGGCAGATACCCCACGGTGCCACCACCAGTGTTTTGGTTTGTTGTTTGGTTTGGTTTTTTTTAAAAAGGTGATTTCTCCAGCACAGTGAATCAGTGCTTTATTTTCAGTATTGAAAGAGGTACAAGTGCAGCAGTGAGCTCCAGGTGGCACGTTGCACTTTATCAGTGCTCTCATAACGGTGGGATTGAGGCAAAACGTGGGCAGAAAAAGACCTCTGACACGTCCCCGAGCACAGTGACACCGCGACAGCTCCGGCAGCGCAGCCTCACCCAACCACCCACACATCCCACGAGAGCTGCACCACCAGAGCCAGGGACCAGCACAAGGTTTGCTGGCTTCAAACATCCTCATGTATGGATTTCCAAGAGGAGGATCTGGTTTCTGGGACAGGGAGGCCATGAATCAGCTGCTGAATTAAGGAGAAATCAGTGTCACAGCCCTTCCCAGCGCAGAGGGAACACAGACGTGATTCCTAAAGCCTGAGTTGTGCAAAGCGCAGCCCCTGAGCCCGACGCTGGCCCGCCTTGCACCAGTGGAACCATTAATGCCACTGGGATTTATAGCACAGTGAGAAATCTGGTGTAAGGCCAAGTCAGAATCGAGCCCAGAGGAAATCTCGAGCGGTCTGTACGGTGTGCAAGACGGGGAGAGGGGTAAAACACCTGGATGTGCTCTAGTGGGATCATAAAATCATCCTTGCCCTAGCACCCTGGCAGGGTTTATATAGGGCAATTCATAGCATGATCCCAGCCTAGAATAGCACCAGAGATTAACCCAGACTCTGACCCCAGCTAATCCAGCGTCACTCCTTGGAAATGCCAGTGGAGTGACTCTGGATGGTGTGGGTGACACGGCAGAACCGGTCCCACCCGGCTGTGATCTGGAGAGTGTCCTGGCTCGGCTGAACCCAACAGCAAACCTGTCCCAGAGCTCAGCAGAGGCAGGACAGCTGCTTCAACAGACAAAGCTGACACAGGAGGAGCTGCTCCTGGCAGAGGATGCTGGGGAGAAGAGATGGTTGGGGAGGGGGTACAGGTGGGGAAAACGAAGAGCTGTAGCCTTTGCATCACCCCAATTGATGTGAAACACCCTCAGGCACAGGTCATACAACCCACCACCTGCAAGCACAGAGCTTCAGCAACCCCCTTTTCCCCTCGCCTCCCCCCATCCTCCTCCTGACATCCCGAATCGGAGCAGCCCTGAGAGGGAACCAGCTCAGGGAAACCAGGAGCTTCTTCAGGGTTTCTCTTGCTCCTGGTGTCCCCTTGACCGGATGGTGCACCCCAAGGTGTGAACGCAGGATCAGCCCAAGAGCAGTGTGCCAAGTAGAGCAGCTCGCTTACTTCTCCTTCAGGTCCTTGTCTGCTTTGCCTAAAAGAGGGGGAGAAAAAAACAATCAGGGCTTGTATTTCTCACCCCAGAACTCCCAGCCCCCTTGGTACGGGCATTTTGCTCCACACAGCTCCACACAGCCCTCACAGTCCAACAAGTGGGACAGCACGTCATGGCCTGGGTGCTGCCCTGAACTTGGCCTCCTGATGCCTTTTTCTGACTCGGGGGAAGGAAATGGCACAATAACCACAATGGGAGAAGCCCTGCCCTTGCCACAGACCCACAGCTGCAACATGCAGAGCTCCCACTTGAATTCCCTGAGGAATGAACCAGCAAACCCTCCCAGCCCTGGTTATGCCACTGCAGGAGCTCCCAGCCTTTGCTTTCACAGAATGGTTGAGGTTGGAAGGGATCTCTGAAGGTCACCTGGTCCAACCCCCCTGCTCAAGCAGGGACAACTAGAGCACATGGACCAGGATTTTGTCCAGATGGTCCATTTTGTCCATTTCCACCCCCAGCAGAAAACCCCACAAAGTTCATCCATCCTGGGACATGTGGAGACCTGCAGCTGCATCCAGGAGCTCCGTGTTTCCCATGGGGAGCTCAGGGACCCTCTGATGAGCTGACTGACCCGTGTGAGATCTGTTCAGTGGCTCCTCAGCTCATCACCCCACTGAAAGCAGCGCATCGCACGCAGCGTGGCCTGGCCAGCAGCAGCTCCCCCAAAAATAACACCATGGACTGAAACAGCTGCCAAGCCACAGCTTTTACCTTTCGGGACGAATTTCAGCGAGCTGCTGAATATTCAGAAGCGGGACTGTCCCCTCTGTGGCCCGTCATTGAGGAATTCATGGCCAAGCCCGTTGCCACACTTGCCACAAGACACCTGGAAATGCAAGGAGAGGGGTTGATGGCGAGTGGTCTTCCTCAACAGACAGGCTCATGGAAAAAAACCCTCAGGGTTTGGGTTGGTGGGTTTTTTGCTGCTTCCCAAGGGTTTTGGAATCCTCACCTTTAAAGCCCCCGGGCGCTCCTTGCGCTTGGACACGCTGTCCTGGTGGACGGTCTCGGTGAAGGCTGGCCACGGGGACGAGTGCTCGTACTTGGCCCGGCTGGAGAAGAGCTCATGTCCACACTTGGCACAGACGTAGATTCCTGGGGAGGGTGGTGGGAGAGGGGTCAGGGGGGGTCAGTGCTGGGGGCAGCCCCCAGCCTCACTTCCAGCAGCAATTGCCAGTGACTGGGGGGGTCAATGGTGGGGACACATCGGCAGAGTGTCCTGGTGTGAGCTGGGCCAGGGCTG